CCCCAAAACCCCAAAACCCCAAAACCCCAGATATTGTGAGAGGGTTTGAAATGGAGTTTTATTATAAATTTTAAGTAAAATAGGGTTTTTTGAATCTGGATTTGGTCAATTATATGTACGAATCCTTTAAGATAGTATCACAGCATATTGGTACATGAACTGGACGTCATTGGTATGACCCAATTATCGGAATAATAATCTCAATCTCAAATTTAGCTTGTAGGAAGAGTGAGAATTACCCAAATAGTTTAAATAAATCCTCTTAAGAGTCTACCAAAAGAATCTTAGTACATATATTTCCTTCTGAGCTCTTGCTGGAAGATAAAGCTATATCTTTTAGAAGTATGTTTTCGATTCTTCTTCACTCATAAACTACCAAGATGTATACTAAAGCCCTCTAGCTTCATGATATTTTCTCTATTCAAAAGACCAACTTGCTCACACTCACTCTCTGTTTCGAATGATTTTATGACTGCACACACCTACTAATTTCACCTAGCAAACACCAAATGCACTAAATCCTTCTAATCTCTATTTCACCCTCTCCAGATCCCCCTAAACCCTTCAATTCCCTCCTAAATCTAATCCACCCACCCCCTTCCAAACTACCCCCTCTCCTCAGCTACATTCCCTTCCCTCTCCAGTCGCCCCCGTGCATCTCTTCTACCATCTCTAACCCCCCCAACACGCATACCACAAAATCAACAAAACAATTCAAAATCCCCTAAAACCCCCTAAAACCCCTCTTAAACACCTCCTAACGACCCTTAGAACCTTACTAATGAACTTCTGGGCTCTATGGCAGCTAAAAGTGATAACTCGAGGTAACAGTCTGTTAAATCTTGGGGGTCAATATGAAATTTATTAGAGCCAAGATACTTAGTCAGGCAGTGTTTAGAGGATGGATAGGGGTTAAGTGTTATTTTGAGGGATATTAAGAGTGGGCTATTGGAGGATAGTTGGGAAGGTCTCAGTGTATTTGGTGGTGAGAATGAAGAGGAGATGTATTCTGAATAGTTACTTGGTCAGGTTTGATTTGTTGGAATCTGATGTTGCTCTAGCCGAGATGATCTTTAGTAGTATAAGAAAGGGTAGCATCTGAGGAGGAGTTGGACAGAATTTAGTTCTCAAAGCTAAGAAGATAGAAGAAGCAAGCCAGTGTGTTTGAAGATGTGCAGAAAAAGTTGCCAAGATTTGAAAGAGGCTCATAAACTGGAGTTTTAGAGAGAATAGAGTAGCAGAAAGACAAGCAGAACAGTTAGAGATGCTAAAACCAGAGCTGGCGGAGAGTAATGAAATGGATTAAAGTGAATTTTAGAAAATTGGGCTATTAGTCAGTTAGCCTATATTTTAATAACAACATTTTTAGGAAGAAATTTGTGAAATTACATTTCAAGATTGTTTTGCTGAGAAGATAAGAAAATAAAACGAAGATTAGAGATATGCTATTCTTAGGAAAAGATTCTACGATGGTAATCCAAAAATCTTCTAAGAAGAGGATCTACAGATACATCTTCATACTTCAATGAGCCTTGATGACTCTCGCATGTTATTCTCCATGCAACATCATTATCTGGTCTACAAACAGCAATGTGACAATATTTGACATTCTTGGAATTTCAATTTTCCTGTTTGGCTTCTTCTTTGAAGCAATTGGCGATCACCAACTGAATAAGTACAGAGAGAAGAGAGACCTGGCTGCAAGAAATGGAACGAAAATAGAAAAATACTGTAAAGAAGGCCTATGGGCATATACTAGACACCCAAACTATTTTGGAGAAGTTGTAGTGTGGTGGGGTATCTTCCTCCTCAGCTTTGGAAATAATCCAAACGGATTTTGCTATTTCAGTATTCTCTCTCCAATCCTCATGAACTATCTCCTTAGGTATCGTTCAGGTGTTCCTTTCCTTGAAAAGAAGCATATGAAGGATCCTGAGTTCCAAGAATATGCATCAAGAGTGAGTCCATTCATTCCATGGATTCCAAAGCCTCAAAAAGTGACGTCAAAATCTGAGTAACTAAATTCAATGTATCTGACAAATTCAGGGGTTTTGGGGTTTTGGGGTTTTGGGGTTTTGGGG